AACACCATATATTCGGCACAATTAACTACCGCAGGTATGGATTGCTTCTATAACTCTTATTGCATGTCGGGGAAATTATAATCAATAAATGAATAAATAAATAAATAAATAAGTTGCTTTTGTTGAAAACAAAAGCAAAAACAAAAAACAAAACAAACAATTAAACCATATTGCAAAAATCAGCTTGTTGAGCATTAATGTAATTGTCAGTTAAATCATCCATTGCTATTTTATTCTTCATTAGCTACTCCCCAGTTTGTTAARCGACCACCTCTAAGTAAGGGTATAGAAGAAGGTCAGGATCTAGTTATAAAATGTACTGCTATYGGTCCACCGACACCTAAAATCACGTGGGTACAGAKAGAAAGTCAAGTCAGCATGAGTACRGGAATGGGAAGTGCTATATTGAGGATAGCAAACATTAGAAGAKACCAGAAWGGGACGTATGAGTGTCAGGCGAGGAACAACCCGAATAAGAGACTGGTYACTGCACAAACTGTTGTGACTGTCTATTGTAAGTTAAACATGAGCAGCTTATGYTTATTGYGTTATAGCTGCCACTGTTGCAGCAGCTGCTTTTGTTCCAGATGTTGTTCCTTTTGTTGTAATGAAGGTGATACGTGATGTATTTTGATTTTGTTCATGGTGTACATTTTGCGTGGTTTTATATTCATTTTACTATTTGTCATGTTTATTATCGCAGTCAAACCAACTGTTAATGAGTCTTATTCGACTTCAAAATCCAAATCATGGAATGGCAACAGTATTCATCTCAGATGTTTTGCAACTGGTTTACCTTCACCACGAATATCATGGTACAAACCAACAAATCAACAGATCACTACAGGTGTCATCATTGTACCCGGGGGTAGTGAGGTGACAGTACTGACAGCTACTGACCAAGGGGACTATGGACAGTACAAGTGTCGAGCAACAAACATCCTGGGAAGTGATGAACATGTTATAAATGTTACTAAGCTGAGTAAGTTTGTATTTTTTTATTCTTTTAGTATATTTTTTTAATTTTTTGATTATAAAAAGAGAAAAAGAAAAAAAACTTTTCGCAATGGATGGACTGAAACAACCGCATGCTATTTGTTTTATTTAATATTTTTCACGTTAGTCAGCTTTAATATTGTCTTTACACCTTGAAGTTTCTCCAGGTCCTGTTTCTTTAACAATAACCGATGTCGAAGCATCATCCATMAATGTTACATGGTACAAACCTGCTGATGATGGTGGACTCGATGTCACTGGTTACTTAGTGGAAGTAAGTACCAAGCCCCCTGTGATCACAGTGAATACCCAGACTGTTATAACAGGACTGAAAGCAAACAAGCTCTACGCTGTCAAAGTGTATGCCAAGAATATTGTTGGATATGGAGTGGAGTCTTCCAAAATTATCAGAACACAAAAAATAGGTAAATACGATATGACAGGAAAAGGTAACTAATATATTACCATTATGAAGTGAGATAATTGAAATAATGTTAATATGACACATTGTATGCTTTGTCGTGCTCAATACATTATTTATTCAAAAAAGGTTTTGCATAGGTTAAAAAAATATAATCAGCATTTTTTTTCGATTGCAATTGATTGAAATAAGTATTTTGTTGATAAATTATTTCAATCAATTGCATCAAGATATTTTACAGTGTCTTATTGACAGATTGTTCCCATCTATGCCAGACCGAAAAACCAGTGCAATACCGGAAAACCAAATTGTGTTTTGTCAATTTGTGGGTAATCCACAAGGGGCAGAACGAAGCCTGGGAGTGGATGAACAAACAATGAATGGTGAGATAAAACAAAGAACGCAGCTCACATGTAGAATAATACACATTGTTCACCATAATCCATGCTTTCTTTGTTTTTGTTATTTTATCCAATCCCAAGCTTCGTTCTACCAGTGGACACCGACCCCAATTTGTTGCTAAAATATTTGTTCCTCTTTTTCTTTTTGTAATTTTCTCTTTTGTTTGTTTGTTTTACATATTGATGCGCAATTATAAGGTAAGCCATCAGCTCCAGAGCTAGTGATAGCTCTTCTTGAACGGTCACCAGAGTTCAAACTCTCAGTCSTCTTGAGATGGGAAGAGCCGGATGACAATGGCGGCAACATATCAAGGTACACAATCTACGTAAAGGAAGTCGAGAAAAAGGCTGAGTGGACAAAGTATGATAACGTTATTGATTCAAAACAG